AAACCGCTTAGAGAGGGCTGAAAGCCCTATGAAGCGGTATATAAGTCTAACTGCTACTGCTATTGCTACATTGAGTATCCATTATGAATTTAGGGCCTCTGCACCTATATTTTGCACATTATATTGCAACAAACATTAACTTATTTCTGATACTGACAGCAAGCAAAAATAAATAGGAAAGATAAATATCTGAGAAAGCTAAAGTCATAGAAAGGATTTTATGACAGCAAAAAATAATAGAGACCGGCTTTGGAATTCATAAAAAGAACAAAAGGAGGCTGTTTTCATCAAACAAGTTACATGACAGAATACATTATGAGACCCAGCACTCTTGAAGACATGAATTGAACAAAGCAAACAGTAGGATTGATGGAAATCATGGTTATGCAGAGAATAAAGAGAATTTAGAGGGAGTTCACTACAGAACAGACCACTTTCAACTCTGAAAATGCCAGCCATGTTGGCTAGTGAAATGTCCAAATAATTAAACCATGGTCTAATTACCCAGAAGGTTATCACTATTGAATTAACTTACTATTGTGCTAACAAATACCTGTTGTTTCTGTCAACCATAAAAACTTTATTTTCCCCTGACGCCTACTTTTTGTCCAAAATACTGTTTGAGAGGATTTTTCCCCAATCTTCTCTAGCTTACCTTACGAACTTGAGAAGAGAAAAGAATTCTCATGAACTTGTCCTTGCGTTGCAACTCAGAAGTAACAGAGGTGAATGAACTATTAGTCTGAGAATTACCAGGATTCTTAAGGAAACAAGAAATGTGTCTATTATTAAAACAAGTCCAGAGCATCTTTACCATTCCAAATCAAAGTCTCAAATATATATTCATAATAAAACTCTAGCTATTATCCTCCATTAGCTTAAGCTTAAAAAATCAGGAATAAAAATCAGGAGACAGAACATAGATGTCCAAAAGTCAAACTCTCTACAACAAGCACAGCATCCTATAGGGTTCAATCACTACTGTGCCCCAAAGCCAAGAAAATAATCAAATGTTCAGTGACTTTCTGAACATTATCAGGGTGGCCATATCGGGGACTGCTGTTCTAGACAGCAGGTACAACAATTTTTGTTGTTGCTGTTATTCCAATCATTCTTATTTCCACCACAACCGTTTGATTAAAAAAATTAAGGAGACACTGGGGCATACTGAAAAATTCCAACATAGGCTTCCATCTTGATATATGTGTTTTTTGATTGGCTAAACCTACTTCTGACATTCATATTGCAAGTTTCTATAATATGATTTTAAATTTCCAAACATATTCACTGGCCCAGAACTGTTGGAGACAATTCCAGAAATGTTCAAGTACAGTTGGAATATGAAGGTCAAATTTGAATTTTCAGAAGTTCAGTTTAGACTATATGCAATCTATTACACCCAATTAGCTTGCTTACTGAACAATATTACCACTATTTTGTCTGGAAGAAATTTCAGTTTGTCGACATATATTAAATATAGTAAATTATTAATTTATCTAGACAAGAACTGACACATCACTATTCATCTCTTACTATGTTTTCATTTTTTATAGTATTGCAAAAATAATGACTGAATTTTGACAAGTTCTACTACACTTACCAATGCAAGATAGTTGCCCTGCCAGACCCTTCGCAATCCAATATCCCCTCGATGGCCCTTAAGCAACTCCAATGCTGCCACTTTTGCCTTGATTTGTGGCAAATCTTTGGGTGGGATATTTTTGATTAGTTCATGTGCTCTCCATCTGAGGAAAAAAAAAAAAAGAAGTCATACAGGACTTTGAAATAAAGAAAGGATTGTGAAACAAAAGTTCCAAATTATCCATTAATTTTTTAATCATTCAGAAAATCTGTTCAACTGATATAATTAGAAATGTACAATGGTACTTTTTCTGTGGTTGACATCCTGAAGTAGCATCTGTACTATTCAATCTACCAAGATAACTCCACAGAGAGACACTGAAGATCATGTGTGGCACTGACTAAGCTCCATAATTCAAGACAGGGATTGCTTCCATTTCTTACCTGTAGTAGATTGCATGTAGAGCTTCTTCAAACCGTCGCAAAACTTTTGGAGGATTAGGCCACTTCACGTGCTTCCCATAATCTTTCATAGACTTCACATTTTGAAATCGCCGGGCAACTTCACAGATGTAAGACTTTACTTTGTATCGACGGTAACATTTTAAAATCTTGAGGGCAGCTCGGGTCCTCTTATATTGGAGTCGAGCTAATGTACCTCTCCAAACCTACAGAAGTAGCCATTCAGAAAACATTACCTTGTAGCGTAGTTAAGCAAACCATAACTTACTTTTATAAGCAACCCACTTCCATAAAAAATATACAATTGTTAATTGGAGTATCAGTTAAAACTACCATAAAACACTTTTATATAGTGAGTTTCATGGGGCTTAATTTTCCTAAGATAGAAATAGGATTGACTTCCAATTACAAGAATAATAATTATTATATAAAAATTAATTTAATTTCTTCTCTTGTGCTGTAAAAAAGGTAGCATTCTTAAATAGGATAATTTTCTCTACAACAAGAGAAAAACAAATCACTTAAGTGAAATATTTTAATAGCAAACCAAGAGAACAAATTTGCAAATTGTCTGAGAACCTGTGTGGTTAATGTAGTTAAAGCTAAAGAGCAGATACATATTGATTTGTTGTATTTCAAGAAAAGTAGAAGTCCATTTGATCCTTTTACAAATTTTCCTTAAACGACATTTTCTCAGAAAACTATATGTAAAAGCCCTTCTGAATAAATTGCATGCCAGGATGATATATATAGCATCTGTATTCTGATATAAATTTTACAGTTTGAATGTTTGCAGCCAATATTCAGAAATGCCAATTTGTTACATTTCCAGCAATTATTATTAAGCAAATTAAATTAAAACTTGCATGATTAGCTATTTAAATGACCACTTTCTTAACTTAAAGGATGGTATCAGATCTTCAAAGTAGATGTTATGATTTCTTCAAAAAGCATATTTTATAATATTATTAGTGTGCATTGACTTTAATGAGCTCTCTTTTAGCAGATCTTTGATACAATGGACCACATTGACATCTAGACATCTCTCAATATAATGGACATATTTATTGCATCCAATATAATCCATTTACAATGGTTGCAATATCCTGCACTCGTGTGATTGCCATTTGCTACCTTCCAAACTGGCTTCTGACAAGAAAAATTAATGGGGAAGTCAAAGGGAAGTTGCAAGTCATGCTCATGTGACATGCAAGTCATGATCACATGATACACTTAATAAGCACTGGAATTGCCCAAGTGTTTATTGCCTTGACGGTATTTCCTCCACTGAGTATTTCTTTCTAGCCTTCTTTTTGACTTATTTCTAACCACCTTTTTGACTTCAATATGCTTGATGTTATCAGCTTGAAGGATGTCTAGGTATTTGTAGCAATTGTCTTCATCCAGACATTGAAGTTATTTTTGTTGAGTATTTTGATACCTTCAGTTTACTATTTTCCTCATTGTCCAGTCCAAATTCCACTGCAATATTTGGCGTAAATGTTCATTTTATAGCTTGTTTGCATCTAATCTTAACATGCTGATCTTATTTTCCAGCCTGATTTTCCACTGTGATGATGCACTGTTCTATAACTGAAGCCATTCTGCTGCTGCTGTTGTTATGGGTGAAGTTTTAAAAATATAAGTAAAGTCTCATATGATATGCTGGATATAGACCTGATAGTTCATTTCTCTTTTTTCTGTTTTGCTGAAAGGTATTTATTTCATAAGAAGACAAACTTATCAGTAGGATTTCTGCAAATAGTGTTCCCTTCATTCTCTACAAACATGAATTCCAAACTCCCAGGAGGCTCATACTGAAGTTCAGTTAGAAGGTAATGTTCTCTAAGAAGCAATCACAATGGCTACATTCTATTCAAAATGCCTATTGCTTCCTTGGGATAATATTTGTTTCTTCTTCAGCTCAGCTTAAAAGGAGCCTTTGTTCCTCCTACTGGTATGCAAATAACTCCTATTCCCCTCACAAATGCTGAAGAACTTTGATTCTGTTTCTGAGCTGGCATTTTACTGATCCCTAGAGATGCATAAATTCTCCACTTACACTAGGATTAATTAATTACCCAGTGTAATTAGAAACATTAGAAACATAACTATCAATATTTTATATACAGTAGATGATGTCAAAAACAGTCTTTCTTGTATATATGGCTCTATAAATGTAGGCTACATCAAGTTAGGAGAAGATGTAAAATGCGGCCTAGGAAGTAATGAGAGACAATATTTATAGCAACTGAAACCCAAATAAACAACCTTCCTCAAGAGAAAGAGGGATAGAAAAAGGAAAGAGAAAGCTTGTTTGTAATATATACCAATAAAACACACCCCTATCATAAGGTTCAAAGAACTATGAGTTTTATCCAACTTGAATGGGACATATGTAGGAATTGTTGGTATAATAAAAATGAGAATTCTGTATATGAAACAGTTTTAATGAAGAGGGAAGCTGCACCAAAATAAATAAATTTATGAGATGTGCACTTATGGATTTTCAGAAGAAGGTTCTGTAAACTTAAAGAACAGCTCAATTTTATTTACACAATGTAAGATAAGCAAAGAGTAACATAAAAGTGTACAAGAATAGAGCCCCTCTTTGCTTATCTTGCTTTAATTCTTATAAGCTCTACTTATCTCTCCAAATGTCTTTTCCTTTTTTACTTAGTTGTACTGTTATCACTTTGTATTGTTTCATCTCCCTTTGCTCTTTCTTTTTTCTTTCTATCCTTTACTAGTATGAACATCCCTTATCTTACATCTTGTTTTTCTCTTTTTTTAGCTGATTCTTTTTTTTTGGGGGGGGGGGTGTTTGTATAGTGTGTCTATGTGGGAATGTGTTTGTAAGACAAGATAATTGATGGGGATCAATCAATATTATAAAAACAGTCTACCTTAGTTTACAAGCAATGAATTTTAATCAGTAATTTTTAATTCAATTATTTTTATATAATTTGACTACAAACAAAGACACACAAACACACATACATGCATGAGAACAAAGCTAAGTTTTGATTTGAAATGTATTAAGTATATGAAATTATTATAAATTATGTTATTTGTGTGAAATAATTATACTCAAGTTTAATTTGTCTTGCTACCTTCAATATTTTGGTGTGCAGTTTCCATCCACCATACTATTCTAAGGATGGGGCAAATATGGGCACCTATACAGTCACAATGATAATGGAGAGAGCAAATAATTCACTATATTGTCATACTCTTATGGAAATTTAACTACTGCTAAAACTTTACATTTTTAAAATTCCCCCTCACTGATACATGCATAAAATATGTTTATCACCCAAGTACTCTGGTTAGTGCCAGTACTATTACTGTAGAGTGCCAATATACTTCCCCATTTTTCAGAAGTCTGGTTTCCTTCTTTTTTGTAACTCATCTGTTCACTGGTATATCATTAAGTTCTAATTCTTTATTTGTGTGTGTGTGCGTGTGTGTGTGACAGAGAGAGGGAGGGAGGGAGAGAGAGAGAGAGAGAGAGAGAGGGAGAGAGAGAGAGAGAGAGAGAGAATGTACAACTGCAGGGTAGAGAACAATTGCCTTTGCTCCTGTTTCCTTATATTGTCTCTGGGCTCTAACCATTTCATCAAGTTCTTGAACTGTTTCCATCTCTTTTTTTAATTCCTTTTCCTCATTTCTTTTTATATTCCACATTTTATTCTACAAACCAAAGGGGATGAATTATCTAGGATTTTTCAATAAACTGTTGACTATCCTGGGAGTCTTTTCAGCTGAAGATTAGTGCAAAATGTTGTTCTAAAAAATATCGCATTTCGCCAGAGAGCTGCAACAGGCTCATTTCTGCTCAGGTCTTGTGAGGTATATGAGCAGAATGTATCTTCATAAAGTCTCTGACCCCTTTAAAAAATTCCTGGCAAAATAGCTGAATCTGGTTGGCATGATCTCAGGATGCTGCAGGATGACATATAAAGGAGCTGTATGTAGCTATTGAATGCATTTGCCTGTCCACTATAGTCTTTGTTAAAGGGTGCTGAAGAACTTCTTTAGATTAGCCTAACCACTATTTTGCATATGTTGGACTTTCCTTATCTTTCCTTACAGATCAATGATGTTACTTATTTTGTAGATTCATGTGGTTGACACAAAATAAAGTTTTTTTTTATATCTCATTTCTCGTTTTGAGACAATGAGATGTCAACATCATTTTAAGATAGGGGGGTTTCATCTTAACAAGAGATAAAAGAGATTAATTTCAAATATTTGATGTAGTAAGGCAATAATGAGAAACACAATACTAGATAGGAAAATGGAAAAGTAGCTCAAAACAAAATATTTAACATTAAAAATTGGCCATCACAAGCCAGAAACCTTGTCCAAAAAGAAACTACAAGTCTATTTAAAATTTATTTCATAAAGAAAGAACTTCACATTTCTAATTCCATTGCAAATAATATCCATATTAGCTTCCAAACAGATCCTACGCTAGCCTTCAAGGTTATTTAATAACCCTGCACAAAGATGAGCAATCTTTTAAATGTTTTTATGTCACTGGGACTTAATACACCTTTATACAGGTAACCTTCAATTTACAACCAATCACTTAGGGACTGTTTGAACTTATAAAGGACCCTGAAAATGAGATTTCTGACTTGATTTGAAGTTCTGATATCTGTCCACCCATTTCCTGTGTCACATGGTAGCAATTTATAGCAATAGCACTTAGACTTGTATACTGCTTCATAGTGCTTTTACAGCCCTTTCCAAGTGGTTTACAGAGTCAGCATATTGCCCCCAACAATCTGGGTCTTCATTTTACCCACCCTGGGAGGATGGAAGGCTAGTTAACCTGAGTCAATTTATGACAATTTTGCTGGAAATCAACTTTCAATAAAAACTGGCATCCACTTAATGACCATAGCAAGAAGGTCATAAAATCAAGTTTGGTTATCTAATGATCTGTTTTATGACCATTGTGAGTTATGGTGGGCTCAATTACTCTCATAAATAGAGGACTATCTGAGATCCTTAGAAAAATATTTTCATGCTTACTACATAAAATCAAAGGTAGAAGAATAGATTAGGCAAAATGTAATCTGTACTTCTGGCTCAAAAACAGGAACTGTGAGACGGATTTTGGCGTCCTAGTGGACAATCATTTAAACATGAGTCAGCAGTGTGCAGCAGTAGTCAAAAAAGCTAATATGACCCGTGG